CCCCCGGGTGGTCAGTGACCTCCCACAGGGGGAGCTCTGCTCAGCCACAGGCCAGGCTGATGGCTGCCAGCACAGCGGTGGTGGTGGGACCCCCTCCTGCCTCCTCAGCAGCGCAAAGGATGTCTGACCGCAGCTTAGGCCTGCTCCCTGGTGGCAAGTGGACATCCCCCGAGGGCTGCTGGGCCTGCCAGAGGGATGTCTGATTGCCATCTTAGGCTCAATCCCCAGGGAGCAGGCCTAAGCCAGCAGGTGGTCATCCCCTGAGGGGCCCAGACTGCGAAAGGGCACAGGCCGGGCTGAGGGACCTCCCTCCCCCTCGAGTGCTCAAATTTTTGTGCACTGGGCCTCTAGTATATATATATATATATAAAAGGGTAATATGTTAATTAGAGAAGAAGAATGAACATCTTCCTAAGGGCAATAGTTGTTTGGCGTAAGGTGTAAGAAAGTGGTTCAATTTTTTATTGACTGGTTTGGCATATAGTTCATATGGCTGGTTATCAGTCCAGATATAGGGATTAGTCTTAGAAATAGGCTTCCCCTTCCCATTTAAACAATCCTATTCTATATAATCTATCTATTCTAATAAAGGAGTAATATGCTAATTAGACTGGGTTGACCAACCATCTTCTGGATGTCCTACTTCCTTCCGGACAAAGCCATGGGGGTGGGAGCTGAGGCTGAGTCAGTTGGGGGCAACCAGGCCAGCAGGGGAGGGGAGTTAGGGCAGATCAGGCAGGCAGTCAGAGTGGTTAGGGGCAATCAGGCAGGCAGGTAGGTGAGTGGGCAAGATCAGGCCAGCAGTTCCAGATTGTGAAAGTTATGTCCGATTGCTGGTTTAGGCCCGATCTCACAGGGATCGGGCCTAAACCAGCAGTCGGACATCCCCCTTGGGGTCCCCGACTAGAGAGGGTGCAGGCTGGGCTGGGGGAACCCCTGCCCCCATGCACAAATTTCATGCACCGGGCCACTAGTATATATATAAAATGGGTAAAGACCTGAATAGATACTTCCAGAAAGAGGACATACAGATGGCCATTACACATATGAAAAGATGCTCTCTATCACTAATCATCAGAGAACTGCAAATTAAAACGACACTGAAAAATCACCTCACACCTGCCAGAATGTCTATCATCAATAAAGGCACAAATGACAAGTGTCAGTATGAAGTTTCCTCAAAACTGAAAAATACAACTGGCTCATGACCTATCGATTTCACTTCTGGGAATATACCAAAGAAACTCAAAACACTAATTCAAAAGAAAATATGCACCCCTGCATTCATTTAGCATTATTTACAACTAGAGGCCCAGTGCACAAATTTGTGCACATTGAAAGGAAATTAATTAGAAGAAATATTTTAGAGGCCAGGAGGGACTGCAGAAGATCTCCAGGGCATGTCTGGCTGTCTTACCCAGTCCGGATGGGCCAGACCCCAGCAGCAAGCTAACCTACTGGTTGGAGCGTCTGCCCTTGATGGTCAGTGCACATAATAGCAACTGGTCGAGTGGTCACCCGAATGGTCAGATACTTAGCATATTAGGCTTTTATATATATAGATAGCCCAGATTTAGAAGAAGCTCAAGTGCCCATCAGTAGGCGAGTGGATAAAAAAGTCGTGGTACAACTCAATTGAATATTACTCAGCCATCAAGATGAAGGAAATCTTATTCTCTGTGACAGCACAGGTGGACCTGGAGACCATTATGCTAAGCCAATAAGCCAGTAAGAAAAAGACAACTATCTTATGATTTCATTTACACGTGTAATCTAAGGAAGAAAAGAAGCCAACAAGGTATAAAAAGATTCATAGATACAGAAAACAGACTGATAGCTGTCAGA